AAAAACTCATAGATGTGTGGAGCACCGAGTACATGACCATCGTTCGCATAATATTCCTCGACCCTTTTCGAATTTAGATTTAAAATTCGTTAAAATCTCCTCTCTGATAACAATAAAATTTGCGCATTTGCTTACATCAAATCATCTAAAATACGCTTGGTGTATTGGTAATCGGAGATATCTCCTGATGCGCCTATTACCGTGAAGTCTCCTACGGGGTGAATACGCTCAATATCCCTAAAACGGGCCAGCGAACCGTAGGATGCTAAAAAGATCAAATGACGTTTAACTTTGTCCCAACATAAAAAAAAATTCTTCCAACGGAATTCGTGAATACCCAAATTGTCTGCAGCCAACATCACGCCGTCCTTATACTTCAGGGCAATCACGGAAGTACCAGTTACTATGGGTTGTCTATGAACGACCAAAAGAAGGTACCATTAATTACGTGAAGGACTACTAGTTTCGAACGAAAGAATTGAGTACGAACTGAGTTCGTGTAATGGCCTCATTTTTCGGTTTTACATGAGGAGGTAACGCTTGATGTTGAGCAACATCCTCTCGATGAGAGTTTCCCCAATGATCCATATTTTATAGGTTCAATTTGAAAGGCAAAGGATACGTACTTACGTGTGTGCGTGCGTGGTATATAATTTTTTTTATTAGTTAATTAGCACGTGATTATGATCTGTGTGTTACATAAATAGCAAAGTTTCGAAATAAAAAAATCCTTCTCCTTTACTACTTCACCACAGAATTAGTCAATCGAAATGGTATGTCTCTTTCGTACGACTTTTCTAAATAGAACAACAGGATTTATGCTGACATGAATAGCGAAAGGCATTCCCTTTATGCTAATTGTTGAAATGGCGTCATAATAAAATATCACTTAAAATAACAGAACAAGATCTCTGAAATAACATTTAATTGGCACATTTTCATCATTTATCATTTTCATCATTACGAATGCAAGTAATGAAACCTTCGACTCACACAGCAAAAGAACGAGATCAAAACTTTGAACGTCAAAAATATTTTTTTTGACAAAATGTTATTCATGATTTTCAGGGTATCGACATCAAAAAGCATCACGTAAAGAACAAGAACCGGACCGCTCCAAAAAGCGAGGATGTATACCTCCGATTGTTGGTGAAGGTATGATCTCTGTCATTCG